ATGAAAAGAAACCACAGTACAAAACTAGGTGTGAATCCTCCCTCTATGTGTGATTTCTCATTCACTGGAACTTTATTGCTCTTTGTTGCTATTAAAAGAGACTGGTGCAGAGGTATAGGAAAGTGCTTACATCAGCCAAGTATAATCATCAGTTCTGTGCTCTGTTTTTTTCAACCTTTACAATTGTAATGATGGGAGAACTACAGACACATCTGGCCCAGTCGCCTAAATGCAAAAAACACACTTACAGCAGAGTTCTAGTTTGGCAAGCTGAGTCACTATAATTTTTAAGCCAAAGGAAGAAATGGCAAGAGCTGTACTTTCAGGAGAGCAACCACCTAGGCCTATGCCAGGAGAGCACTGCCAGAGTAGGCATTGACAACTTCAGCAGCCTTTGGCAGTAGTGTTATAAGAGCGTGAACCTTATTCAGAGTCTTGAATACAGATTGCTCTGGAAATGCTCCAGAGCAAGATGTTGTGTAAATTGATGGCTTTATCCCCAAGAGCTGAACTTCAGCTGAGATATGGTAGCCCTTCCAGCTCCGAAGTGTTCAATGCAGCACAGTACGTGAGAGACGGTGAAGAGTTGGTCAGCATATCTATAACCCCATGAATGTTGAAGGTGTTACAGCTTTGGGGTAATTAACAGTTTGACCCCAGTATTTATTCAAGAAATGTGCAAGGATCTGTGCTGTAGAAGACATGCTCAGTACCAGCTTCTTGTTATCTCTTTTTTTTCTCTGTCTCTAAAAGTCTGTGAAGCGTTAGTGGGAAAGTATTAATTTTATAGCTTATTAATGTCTTAATTAAAATTATCAGTATCACAGTGACAAATCAGAAACTCTGCTGTGATATTCCACTGGAGTGGAAATGAATAGCTCAAAGAAAATAGTTTTAGAACATCCCACTGAAATTGTAAGTTAGGATCAAATGCAAAAAGCTCTAGAATGTAAAATGGGTCAAATCTTCAACATTGAGCAATTCTGTTCTCTTTTCTCCCATCAGGACGTTCTACAAATAATAGAAGTAAGCATGTCAGAAGAGTGGCTTTCAATGGGTCGTCTTTTTTTGGTTGCAGGTTTTTCTAACATAAATGAAACAGGGATTCTTGATGAATTATTTTGTTATTTGTGACATCATTTTCCAAAGTCAAGAACATCATTATGAATTCTTGTTTTAAAATATCGTTATCTTTTAATACTACTTATAATCACGTCATAGCATGAATGTTTTTTTTTATACTGTATTTAAGTTCATAATTATACAAGGGCTGCTCCAAAAGTGATGCCACCTACTTTATTGTATTGGCCCATGACAGCAGAGGCAGATAATGGTGGAGTGGCAGCTAAGGTTAAACCTTCCTGACAGTATTCAATTACATTTTGCTGTGTGAAAAGATGGCATCAGAGGGGCAGTCCGACAAAACGATACCTGACACGATGCAAAGGTGTGTCATTGAGTTCCTTCACGTGGAAAAAAATGATGCCCACTGACATTCATGGATGCTTGCTGAATGTTTATGGAGACTGAACAGTGGCTGTTAGCATAGTGGGTATTGGGTGATGTGCTTCATTAGTGGCAACAGGGAGGTGAAAAGCAAGCCACGGCCACGCAGATTGTTCTGAGTGCAGGATGCAGGCTCGTGTTCATCGTTGCTGGAAAGGCACATCTAATATTAGCGGCTTTGTTGAAGAAGAGTGTTGTGTAGCTGGTAATTTGCTCTATTAAATAATGTTATTGTATTCTTTGTATCAATTGTAATTTCCATGGAAATAAATGAGGCTTTACTTGCAGAGAGACCTGTATAATTCAAGGGTGCGCCAAATTTCTGTAAATGCCATCAAAAAAACTGGACTTCTATAACTATCTTTCCAAGTAGCACGTTCTGATTTACTGCTTTGCTAGAAACACAGGAAGGAACAGTATGACTAGGATTTCTTTCAGGGCTGTGTTTTAACAGACATTGCAAAGGCCAGGTACAGAAACAGTTTATCTAATGTTCATCATCCCTGCCACTTCTTATTTTTTGTTTTTAAACTTGAATTTAATTATTTCTGTTAATATATATGTCTTCTGTTATATAAGCAAGGTGGAGGTTCAAGTGTGCTTAGAGTAAGGTCTAAGTCTTGCTTTGCGCTGGAACTTTCAAAGTCTTGTTCCTTCTGGCATTTTCCACCCCAAACTTTCAGCAGTCATTTGGAGAGATGAATGAGAGAGGAAAATTTCTGGGGGCTGAGCAGCAAAGTTTAATATCCAAAACTAAAAAGTTTCCCAGATGAATAGTGCAAACCAGACAACCCACCAGACATGAACCTTGGCCCATAACCTGCAGATAAATCTCTTTGCATGGACAATTACCTACACAGTCAAATGATGTCAGTGGAAGCCAATGCAGAGGTAAGGATTTGTAGGCAGAAGCTTGGCTCTGCTCAGGTTAGGGAAGCTACTCAGGTATTTCATTTCTTTGTGAAGTGAGACTGATGTTAGATGCTTCCTTCCATTGCATGTTTTTTCAGTACACCATTATTCAGTTCAGGCTACTTAGAATTCCTGGCTGTCAGGCTGAACTGGGTATTGCACTCATCCATCATCACTGGGAAGCAAGTTGAGTATTGTAGAGAAGGGCATAAGCGGAAATAAGATTTTTCATCCAGTTATGATCTCCTTATGCTGCACAACAAGGTTTTATTGAATCTCGTATGGTTTTTTGGTCATGCCCAAGGAAAGATCTGAAGCAAGAAAAAGGTAAACAGGATTTATAGCAGAGTTTCATGGAAGAGTTGGCTATTATGTAACTAATTCAAAGTAATGGCACTGTAATTTTGTGCTTTCATGAGAAAATTCTTTGTGACTAAAATTCTACTGCAATTTATAAATGCCAACGTTATTTTCTATGGATATTCTTTTATAGTCCTCTCATCACTTAAGAAATACAGAAGAAATGTGTTTTATTAACTTACTCCAGAATGTTTTTATTCCTAATTTAGATATGTACTTTATAAATATTTTTAGGTCTACTTCCTCTTATTGTCTCTTCTTGCTTTCTCCTGATTTTGCATACTGGCCAAAACATAACAGATGTCCCGCTGATTACTAATGCAGAAGACTGCATTGTCATTTGGAAGTCTTCAGAGGACAGAAGAGAAGTCTTCTAAATAATTCAGACTTCCTCGTCTCTTTTTCTTTACTCTACTCTTGTTTGCTTTAGTTCTCTGTGCTCCTTAAAATTACCTTTTTCTCACTATGTTCATAGTGCTCTTCTGAAAGTGTTTTCTCCCAGCAATCGAAACTAGTTTAGACTAGCTTTTGAAGGACTGAACCCAGAAGGTATCAAGTGCCCGAACTTTGCTCTAAAATGTATGATGCATTTGTCAGGTTCAGACCTTCTTTACTAAGTTCAGAAACTAATTGTCTTAATGCCCTTCCTCCTAAAAGGGTCTGCACCAAAGTCTATCTGAGAAAACTGACACAATTAATACTGAGTATAAATAAACTTTTGTTTTAAAGTGAATTGTTTTTATTTAAAAATCTCCTTCTTCTGTCCTGTAAAGTTCTGGGTTTATGCAGTTAGTCAGGAAACACGCAAACTTAAATCTTCACATACTTAAAAGAATATGTATGTATACATAGATATATGTACTTCTTATTTTCCACAATCGCAAAGGCAAAATTCTCACTGAGTCCATACTGAAAAGCAAGGTTTCTGGCTTGACTTTCAGGTGGGCAGAAAAGAGAAACAAGTCAAATTGTTAACCACCTGAAAGTTTTTCTCAAGTCTCTCTATCGCTAGATAAATCACTTCTTTTTATAACTACAACTTAATTTTATTTTGTCTTGCTTTGCATCATCTCTTGTTTCCAGGAATAGGTTACAGCCATCATTTATCTCATTTTGATTGTAATGTATTTAGGTGTACCTTTCAGCTTGAAAGGATATTTATGTAAAACAATTAATTGTCCTAATTTCAGTTGATTACATTGTATATATATTTAGCTGATGGTTTCAATATATGAAGTAATACCATGTTTTCATGTAGAGGACGTGGCTTGGAACAAACATAGGCTAGGCACAAAGCACATGACTGAAAAGGAGTTCTGTTGTCTATGCCTGTTGTCCTGCATGATTTTTTTAGGTTAACATAGGTCTGCTATTTAAAGCCATTTGGTTCTTCCATTAGCAAATCTCTCAGGTAAAATAATTCAGTTAATATCTGACATAGATGTCTGTAAGAGTTACAGCATGGTAGCTTATATGTATGCTTTAAGTTAATACAGTGAAAGCACTTGGAAAGGCAATGCAAGACTCTTATGGTAGAACACTGAAGGTTGATGATATTTTTTAGTGTAAATGATATTTTTGTGTTGATCAGTTTTAGCTGTTATCTGCATTACATGAAAGTCATTCAAGGAGAATGAATGTAGGGAATAGTAGGCCAGTATCTCTGTGGAGCATGTTGGAAAGGCTAGAGCTTCTTAGCTCTGTATGAACAAGGCTATAATGGGCTCTCAGCTTCTCCAATAGTTATTTCATGACTTGGTTCACTTTAAAAAATGCAAACTGCTCTGATTTTTGACTAATTCTTTTCTCTGGCACAGCTGAACTATTTTATAGGGTACAAATCTTCCTGTGTTTCAGCGGACATCGCTATCAATACACCCAAGCTCTGCTCCTAGTGAACCAGAGTGCATGGAAGGCAGCCGTGCAGCTGACGTAGGTAGATTTGAAAGAGGAATTAGAGAGCAGAGAGTCCTTGAGAATGGATGGCTCTCAGATGAGGCCATAGATGTTATATTTGACAGACCTTTTCATTTATTCCTTCTGGTCTCTGCTAATGGTGTCCCAGTCCTCACAAAACATGCTTCCAAAAATGTTTTTACTAAGAGGAGAGGAAAAACGTTTTACTTGCTGCATGCAAGCTTTTTATTATAGATGTGTGTTTGGCATTCAGAAATCCGTAAAGTTTGTTTTCTTCTTTGCCTCACATTCTGATTCTCTTTCAGGTATTACTAGAGTGGGGCACTGAGTAAATCATCAAGGGGCTTTGCTCTCACTGTGTGCTGTGCATTCATGTGTGTAACAAGAGCATACACAAGGACAGTCATGGTAAGTATAATATTGTAAGTACACAGTAAGTATAATATATAATAAAATTCTGAATATCCTTGTGTTTTGCTGCTTAATATCTTGGTTATGCATAGCAAACAATGTTTTCATGAACTTCAGGGGATGGCTTTCTTGATTATTTGTGTTGTAGTCCAGCTCTGTTGCTTGTTAAGCACTGTCAGCGCAAGAAGAGTATTCCTCTAGGTTACAATGCTTCCTGTATGTTACTGATATAACTCATGAAATATTTAGTTAAAACATATAATTATGCCAGATTGCACAGAAAACTGTTTTTTAAAACTGACTCATTTATGTATTTCTTTTTATTACAAGCATCAGAAATCCTTCCCATCCTCAACTTAACTGTTTTAGGCTTAACTTTTTAAGTGCCTCTTACCCACTGAGAAAGTGTCTCTAGAGAAAGCAGGAGTCAACGCCACTACCATAGCTTGTAGCAATAAACTCTGCATTCTCATGTGAGAGTATTTTGTAACCCATCAGAATCCCGCAGCGCCTCTTCCTCATCTCTCAGCCTTAAATAATTTCCTATCATATTTTTCAGTTTTGAGAACAGTAAGTATAGTTTGCTGTTGTGTTTACTGGGGTTAATCTCAGTATAAGAAAAGAAATGAGAAGGAGCACTGGTACAAGTAAATAACTTGTTACAAGTTTTAAGATACTTTAGCTAATTCAAGGAAGATTATCTTATAGGATTATGTTTTGCGAAGATAGGAATTGTAACATATATGAGGTAGCTTTTAGGTCAGTTTTAAGAGAGTATTCCACTTAGCAGTTTATCTTCCTCTCCTCTTCATAGTTTATCAAAATGCATAAACCATGATACGATGTTTATGTATTTTGCTGTGTTTTCTTTTTAGAAAATTATTGTTTGTCTTTTGGTAGCTTCCGATGAGTATCATATGATTCATCCCTGTTAACTCCAACAACCATAATCAAAACAGCTGATTTCTCTAAGAGAAAATATTCTGGATGTTCCAGTGATTACTGTCCGTGAGACCAAACTGTTCACTCCGGGTCTTGTAGAGGTTTTGAGTGTTTACATAACATACAGTTCTTGAACAGTGGTCTAATCTTAGTCATTATGCAATCTTGCATTATGATTCTCAAAATCGTTTAAAAATATGGGTCACAGAGCACCACAGAAATGATTCTGAAATGAAAAAGTTGCAGTATAATATACAGGAAATATTCTGGTGTTTGTTTTCTCTGTCCATTTCTGACCCAGCCTCAATGTTGCTTTCCGCTCACTTTGAAAACTCTGTGGTTCTCACTCCTGGCAGGATCATCCATGTTCTTTTTACCCAACTGTGAACAGACAACAAGCTGAACTCTATGGGGATGAAAAAAAAAAAAAAAAGAGAAAACTTTCTTTTCCTTTTTAAGTCCCTTTTGCTGAATCACAGAGCAGTGCCATACTTTTGTCTCCCTGCACATTTAGAGACCCTAAGAGGCAAACGGCTGAAGGAAGATTTTGCAGAGATAAATAAAAAATGACTGTGCAAGCTTTAAACTGCATTGGGTATCCAATGAAACTTTCAGATTGCCTTATCAAACGACACAGATGACTATTTCTTCGTGCAGTGTAGTTCAAACTGTCAAGGCCATGGGCCTTGCCATGGCATCTACTGAATGCTGGTTGTACAGGTTCACACCCCTCCTGGAAGATTTATGGAGGGGAGATTAAAAAAAAAAATAAATAAAAAATCACATTTGGAAGCTATTAAACGCAAAACATCACTTGTGGCTTAGGAAATCCCTTAGCTGTTAATCACTCGAAACATTATTGCCAAAGGGTATCAGTTTATAATTACCCCATTTTTGCTAGAATGTTCTTGTTCTTCTTGAGGGATCTGCTGTTGGTCACTGCTCAGAGCAGCACATGGGGCTGAAGGTGGCATTTGTCTGATCCAGTAAAGGAAAATGTTTGTGTGCTAAGCATTGTATGTGGGATTTGGAGAAAAATCCATAATATACCACGTTTCATCATTTAAGGGAAAGAGTTAAGTGAAATATAATGTTTCTGACCTTGTAACACATTAAGTGAGGTAAAGAACATGTAGCATGGGGTAGTTAATTTGTTGCTAAATCACAGCTCACCAGTAAAGCCCCAGAAGTGTCTCTTAACATGAGATGGATGTTTGGCAATAGATAATTAGGAAGTCATTTTACCTAGAAAAGTGACAGTTTTTTTCTAATTGGTGACCTAGATTTTCTGTTGTGTTTGCTTCTTTACAAAATAAGGCCAGACTAAGAATTCTTGTCTATGTTAGTCATATGTGGCTAGAAATACATATGAATTGAATGATTTCTCTTGTAAATCCTAGGTATTTGGCATTTATGTTTCATTTACATATAGAAATGTGAATATATTCCTTGGGAAATCCCCAGACTCAATGGAACTGTTAAAAAATAATGTAAAACAGAGGTTATAAGAAAAAACATTCAAGATTTTGAATGTGTGTCTGAAGCATAGCAATAGAACTCTTGTTATTGAGATCTTTAAATTAAAGTCTTATTACGGCAGATTGTTTTACTGAATACTCTGAGGGAAATGTGGGGAAATGAAGGAAATGAGTTATATACTGTAGAGCATACAAAAGCAGTAACCAGATATCTGTGACTGCAGAAACAGGGCATACACTAAGTCGATAGGTTTCATAAAGCTTTGTGTACATCACAGTTACCAGTGACATAGCCACGACCAGGGTATTTAAAAGATTGTTCCTGATGCTTAGGTGTAAATAACACACCATGCTCTTCTTCACAGTTCTGTTTCCCTACCAATTGATGATCACGTTTTTGCTTTCTATCTGATCTGCCTGAGGAGTTGACACTAGATCATCTGTTTTTGTGCATTATTTCACATCTACAGTTTAAAAATAGGATTCATTTCTATTTTGAGACTGACAGTGGCCTTAGAACTAGCTGTTTACATAAAGTTGTGACAACAGCTATTTTTTAAGGGCAAGCGTTTTCTATAATGTATTATTCCACTCTGTTTCTATATTCTCTTCTTCCACCATCAGGCTGTCATTTCAACATTACCTCTGGTTTAAAAATTGCTTTAATCTGCTCCCAAACCAAACTTAATATACTGCTGCTTGGAGTCAGTATCAGAAGTCAGTCAAGGGATCTCCTCTTGTATTCTGTTGTTTTCTGTTTAATGCTCTACTAAATTGCCCTCGGATTAGTTCATGACTTTTTACTTCATTAAGGGTCTTTGGAATTTTAAGTAACAGTGTAATAATGTTTGTTTTCTTTTTTTAATTTATTTAGTTTAATTCTTGATTCTTTACTTCTCTTGAAGTGTGCTCCTGTATGTATTTTATAAACAGCTCTTACTTAGATTACTGATCATAAATGTTTACTGAAATTATCGCTGACATTAAACATACATTTACCAAAATTATAGACTCATAGAATGGCCTGGGTTGAAAAGGACCATAATGATCATTTAGATTCTGTTGGAAATATCCACATAGTTTATCAGGACGGTATCTTTGATAAAGCAGATTTCATTCACAATTGCAATTGGAGGGCCTCCTGCAAGCAGGAGAGCACACAGAAAACAGCTTACATCTTCTATGCTCTATTACTCTGCTTATCTCTTTCTCCCCTGATTCCTCATTGGCTGAGTATTTGAGGTTCACAATCTTCCTGGTGCTCAACTAAATATACGAATACTGGATAAACATAAATTTTTGCTGGGTAAGCACATATCATTAATTAGTTAACTTCTCACATTTGCTCGTTCAACACTCGGTCATTGTTTCTGGACGTCTGCTTGTCCTTGCATAGAGATAAGCTTGGAAGGAGGATAGAGGGGAGTATCTTTATGCCTGCTTGTTGCATCCTAACCTACCCATAGAGAGAGGCAATCCAGCCTTGTGTAGAGGCCCTGGCTTCTTTGGTGTGTAAGTCTTTTTTTTCTTTTTTTTTTTTTTGCTGAGGTCTCTTATCCAAACAGAATAACTCTACAATATGCTTTCTAGTCCATATTGCTATACCTGTACTATTTGGAACGTTTAAAAACTATTGCAGTTTTGCGAGCAAGAATTAATCACATAATTCAGCAACTATATTTCTAAAATATGCTACTAACATATATGGTATTTCTACTTTTTCACATCAACCATTTCTAAGGTCAAGTTAGAAAATACATTGTGCTCTGCTTCTTCAGATCAGTTCCCCCTTTTGAATATCTAATGCAGAAACAACATTCCATTCCTACGTTTCCACCCCCCTGCTATGTGCGGGGTCACCAACCAGTAGACCAGTCTGCCCAGAGCCACATCCAGCCTGGCTTTGAATGCTTTATTCCTTGGACTTCCTTATATTTTTTGAGAAGAAAGAAACACCAATTCAAGGAGCAATACGGTCTACCAAAGCAAAGTACTGTGTTTGGTTTTGTTTTGTTTTGTTTTTGCTTCTATTACACAGAACTTGACAAAAAGTTCAGTGTGGAATCTAATGCTACCCACACTATCAGGCAATATATTTTCCCTTACGTAGCGTCTCACATCCCTAAAGAAAACGTGGGCTAAAAAAGTCTGCATCATGTTGTGTTAAATTCATCAAGGGCAGCTTTAATTTAATTGTTCGTGTTTGTAAGATGTGTTGGTAACATAATCCTATTACTTTGAGACTTTCCGAATCATCATCTTTTAGAAATCTTTTAAGAAATGTTTTAAGATGCTCAAATGTACTTAAGCAGGCAGGGAATCTTCAGGGAAACGTGGCACAGTTTGACTGAATTAGAGCATATTTAGCTAAAAAGTATTATTTAGGGCACTGGAAAACTGATCTGTGAACTGTACGCTGTAAAACTGTTTTTTGTTTTCTGCTCAGTCTTTGCTTTCACCCAAGTGCAGTATTTCCTCTTTGCACTGAGTTATCTGTCAGACAAGCCAATTTTAATTGTTGAGCAGCTTCTGTATTCACATGGTGGTGATTAGGACTACTCAGACATTATGGAGAAA